ACCATGTCACAGCCCCAAACCCTACGCCCCAAGGCACGCCCAACCCTTTAATCCTAAGATATCATTCGTTGTTTCAGGGTGTGCGTCTGCGTGTGGGTGCTTTTGGATATGGGTTTGGAGTCAAAGCCTTTATTAAGATGTTAACAGAAAAAAGAAGCAACAATATATACAAATATACAGAAAGGCTGGAGAGAAACGCCGAGACGCATGACGGATGTCTTATGTCTCGTGAAAGTGGTAATATGATGGAAGTTGTTATAGTAGTATATATATGTGTGTATGATGCAAAGTTAAAGTCGGCGAATCCGATATAACAATTTTTATATGTATTCGGTCGACTTAACAATGATCGATATTCACGATGCTATATATAAGATGTAACGTAGGTAGGTGATTTGTTTTTATAGTTTATTGTATATGCTTTGTAGATGGTTTGTTAATGTAATGTCGTTGTTACATATTGCTGTTTGTATATAACGTTGTAATAAAGTAACAGCATATTCTTTAATTTTGGGAATATTGGTAATACGATGTATATAATCAACTGATGTGTATATGGGTAGTCCTAAAGCAGCACGTATAGCTTTGTTTTGTATAATCTGCAATCGTTCCCATATTTTATCATTAGGTGTAAGTAAAATCGGATATCCATATATTATCATAGTTCTTGCAATTGATTTGAAAATATTCAACATTATTTTATCGTTAGATTCGTATGCAGTTTTGTTTAGAAATCTAAGTAGACTGATACGACCTGCTATCTTCGATTCAATATGATGAATATGACTTCGCCAATTTAATCTTTTATCTATGATAATTCCAAGATATCTTGTTGAATCTGATGGTGTGACGATTGTATCTTGTATTTTGATATTTATTGGATTTTTAAAACTTCTTCTGGGATGGACAGTAAAGTGAATTAATTCTGTTTTTGTAGGTTGTAATTTTAATTTCCATGATTTACACCAGCTTTCGAATGCATCTACGGATTGTTGTAATCTATTATTAAGGCTTGTTGTTGTATTTGACGATGTCCATAGTGCAGTGTCGTCGGCGAATAAACCATGTTCTGTATGGTCTGATATTCCATTCATCGAGTCTGCCGTATATATAATATATAATAGAGGTGATAATGGAGATCCTTGTGGAGTACCGCTCTTTAAATTGAATGGTTTAGATACGTTGTTTTCAATTTCGATTACAGCAACACGATTTTGTAAGAATGACATGAGGTAATTCATTATATATTGTGGAAAACGTAATTCATTTAATTTGTATATCAACCCATCATGCCATACTGAATCAAAGGCAGCTTTGATATCAAATAATATGACAGCTGCATGACGTCGACGATCAGTTCCATATACTTGATGTTTTGCATATTCAGTTAGCCTTATGATATTATTTAAGGTGCTTTTTTTAGGTCGAAAACCTGCTTGGTGTTCTGGCAGGATGTTTCGTGGTTCCAGTATAATCATTAGCCGTTGCTTCATTATTTTCTCCAATAGTTTGCCAAAGCAACTAAGGAGACTTATTGGACGATAACTTGAAGGATGTTGCTTATCTTTATTAGGCTTTAGTAACAGTATAATGTTAGCCCTTTTCCATCCATTGGGAATATATCCAAGATTTAAGATGCAGTTAAATAGTTTAGTTAAATGTTGAATGAATAATTCTGTGTAGTTCTTTAAACATCGATTATGAATGTTATCAGGACCACAGGAGCTATTACGAAGTTGTTTAATATTCCATTTAACTTCTTTAATTGTGATCTTCTTCCACTTGTTTAGTTTCGTGTTAGAAGATCTATTTTTGATGTTATACGTTTGATTTGTTACTTGCTGATGAAATGGTATTGTGTCAGGTGGATTGACATAAACTTCATTTTGAAAAAATTCAGCAAATAAATCGGCTTTTTCCTTATCTGATGTCGTAGTCACGTTGTTGTATTTAATGTTGTTACAGTGACTTTGTTTAATTCGCTTGTTGTGGAACTTGCGAACTGTAAGCCATACTGCATCCGAATACATCTTCTTTTGGCATAATGACGACATAAGGTTGTTGAAGTTGGTTTTTTTGTCATTCCTAAGTGAATTCGTCAGTAGCAACTTACATCTACAATATTCTTGTTTTTTACTATCTTCTCCAGTCTTCTTCCATTTACGATAAGTTTTATGTTTGAGCTGAATCAGATGTTTGGTTGCTTCACTTAGTTTAAT